AAAAAATTGCGGATGCTCGCAAACCTTGCATTTGGAATACAGCTGAGTATTGTGATGTATTTTGTAAACAAACCAAAGTTGGTACATGCAAGCGGCTGAAGTGACTGGGGCTCTGGGGCTTGAAGGTACATGGTGCCCTTGCTCTATGCATGCAAAAGCATGATTCAGATGTAGGTAATGCAGAATGCGGTCACGGGTAGCCAGGTTCCGTGGAGCCTTGTTAATGCTTAATGGTTTCCAGTGAGCTCGATTTTGGATGACATCTTAAAACTTCTAAAAGGGAGAAGTGAAAAGTTTACATAAAATATGGGGGAAGGGAGTGAAAAATTCCTCCTTATAGGGATTACACAGCAATTTCACGACACTGCGCTCACACGACCGGGGATCAGAAGATGCACCCACCGTTCCCCGCGTTTGTGGTATGGGGACCGCTTTCTTAGTAGTCCTGGGCGTGTGCCGAATTATGATGCAGTTTGTTGGCGGCCATCAGTTTAAACTACGGTTCATCAGCATACCTTTCACCTAACTGCATCGCAAAAGGGATGTCCAGGACAGACTTTTGTTCGACTCCGAATTTCATTTGCCGGAACTTTGCAGAATCTCATTTGCCAGAACTGAAAATTGCCAGAACTTTATCAGGTCTTTAAATTTGGAAGCTGCGTAAGTCATGAGTCAAATGATCCAATGCAAGCAATGAATCTGAACTGAACTGAATAAAGAAACGGCCATGAGTCGTGCTTCATAAGATACGAAAATATGTGAGTCGGTGCTGAGCCGGCTCACTTTTTTTTACTCGAACACAAGTCTGTTCGAGGAATGGACCAGGGAGTCAACACATTCTTCGTGGTGTGCTCCAGAGAGAAAGGAATATTGGCGTGGTATTAAATGGTTTTAGTGAAGAAAACTGAACATGGGCACTGCTTCAATTTGTCTAATCTTCTCACCATAACCATTGCTTGCTTAATGACGTCTTTTTACCACTACCTGCTAGCAAACTAAAGGTCTATTATTTTCAGCAATCTCCTAACTCAATGCCGCAGCATGACGAGCGCAAGACCTTTCTTGCTTATATTATATTTTAACTTAACTCAAAGCGTTGGTCACGCTTTTTTATTAGGACGGCCATTCAGGTGACCCGTCCGATCACCAGCCTGTACGTACTACTAACCGCCTATCAGTTGTCGATATATCCGTCGAGGTCGTGAAAGCTCTGTTCCACTTCTAGGCATGCTTCCTGGCAATGCACATGCTATAGAAGCTGTAGCCTTTCCACGCAAACTGCGTTATACCCACTCTTCCCTATTCTACACGTGTCAGACCACGCCATTCTGCATAAAGCCGTTTTTGCGCCTCGCGCTTCTTTCCATGAAAGATAAACAAGGCCTATTCCTGTGATGATACCGGACCGTCTTCCTGAGATGTTTTCTGTGCATTACACCCAGCTTCAGACTACTCACAAAGATTCAGTGTCACAACCATGTGAAGCTTCAATGGACATAAAGCTGGATGGCATCTTCGGTAAAGCAAGCTTTTTATCCGGGGATTAAAAAAGGATTAATCCTTTCCATTGGAACTTAACCCGAAGCGGCCGAAATCGTGGATAAATCATGTTTTGGTGTTAGTGGGGTCAGTCTTACCGGCTGAGAAGTTTTAAAATCGAGTAGCCCCCAACCGGTTTTCAGAAACGGAACACCTGCATCGCAGGCAGACCGGCCTCCAGGCGTTGCCAAGACCTCTGTGTTACGCGGGTGCCGATCTTCGGTCAGAGACACCTAGCATTTGTCTTTTGCGCTCTTAGTTTGCATTCCTGTCGAGAGATGTCACTGATGTTTGGCACGCCCGGTGCTGCGCTAATTGCCGGAGTGGCACACGTTCCCGGCGTTCCCACGCCGCGCCGAAGGCCGGGCAGGTGTGCGATGGACACGGGCAGCTGGCGGGGGCGGCGTGGACGTTGGTTCCCACGCTCCCACTTGCCGGGCGCGTGCGGAACCCGTGTTTGGGACGCCCGGCCCCCGACTGCTGAATCATCTCTCGCACCGGCCGGCATCGGCAGCCGAACAGCGCGGCACGCGTACTGCGCCGCCCAGTCTGCATTGTGGAACCGAGACCTCTATAAAAGAACTTCACAGAGCGGGTAAACCAGCTCGATGGCAGGGCCCGAGGGTCACGAAGACCTCGCTGCAGGTCGTATTAGGGACCCCTGACCCACAGCGCGGGGCGATCAAATGTCACGTAGAAGGGCCGCTTCATTCACTGGAGCTCCATGGAATAACGCGGGCCGCTATGATGGTCAGAAAGCACCGACACCGAACAGTCGGCTCCGTGTTAATCTAACCCTGACGACCAATGTCCCAGGCAGGGCTTAGGTCGGAGCCCGCGGTTTGCATTAGTTGTAGCCCCTGAAAGGATGAAGGGGGTCCGGGGGCACGTTTGCTAAACAGAGATAGGGACAGGAACAGGGACAGGGACAGACAGGGACAGGGAAGGATGAATAGGGGCAGAACCCCGAATATCAGAGAGCCACTTATCTTGGCCTCAAAAAATGCAGGGAAATTGAAAACATGCAGTGAGAGCTCACAAAGATGCAATGTAAGGACCTTGTAGCAGTCAGATGTTCCATTGTCGAACGGGGCGCTCTGCTCCATTCCAGCCAGAGGTCTGATAAGCCAAACTGGAGTCACTGCGCCAATCATCGGACCGCCTTCGCCGGTCAGGGCTCCCGTTATATCAATGAGCGCCCATGTGTTGATCCGGGGCCAACTGTTGCGGCCCAAGTATCTACCGCGCCAGGGAGGGAACTGATGCGTGATGCAGCCCTCTAATGGTCTCCGAATCGTTCAGGTGCCCCGGCCCCAGTGTCGCCAGGGTACCCGGGGCTGGACGGAAAGGCCCTTCAGCACCTGGCCGGGAGAGAAAATGTGCCCCTTGTGTTCAACGAGCGAGATCTCTTGGCCGGAAGAGGTAAGGGGTCTCCATAGTATTCAGAATCGTGGATTGACACAGGCTTTATGTTACAGGTTTCACTGAAGACTTTTGTCTTAATATCTTTTGTCAGGCTCGACTAGTGAAACAAATGACATCAAATATTTGTGAGCGCATGCAATCACACACTTTAGTAACTTCAGGGCCAAGAGCTCAATGCCCACGCTGCATTTCCGTCAACACGAGTGCCGTTAGACATTGCAGCTTGACCAGACGGCGGGTGCCGTGCGCGTGGGAACGTGACATGCCAATAGCCATACATCGTGAAATACTTCCGAAAAATGTTTTTAAGCCAAGTCGAAAGGTTAGACTCTGGTGGGTATATTGCCTGTGCAGATTCACCATTTTTATTACATATATTGCAAATGGCACAATTTTGTTGATAGTTCGTGACACTGTAAATGCTGATCGATTACCATCACAGATATAAACTCGCACAGGTTAAGTACACAGCCCGGACTATCTTCCAGACGTGCAAATTGATTCCATGAAGGGTGCAAATCGACTTCTTTCCAATACATTATCGTTTTCGTCTCACTGTTGTCCGCCGCCTGATACCACGGCTATTACGAAGCCCCACGGCTACGGCCCTACGGCTCCGTAGGTCCGACACCGCGTGGGTCACGGGGACAGCAACGCCGTGAGCCGGGTGTTTGCTTCTAAAGACCTGCGAGAGCGCATGCGCAAAGCTATTCGACTCATTGTTTTTTACTAACACACTCAGGGGAACGCCTGAACATCCCTAGACGAACATGGATTTGCTGTACCAATGTAATATTTATCATCCCATTTCGATCTAATATTCACGTTTAGTCCACGGAGTCTCAATATCTCTCTAGAGCCCGAGGATTTCTGCAAAATCCCTGACTGTCGCCCGTTCAGACGAGCCCGTTGAATAACTCAAAATGGCAAGCGCTATGAAAGTGGTTGCTCATTCGATGCAGTTATTTAGAAATGGCGCCCTAAATTTAGTGACTTTTAAACGTAAACTGAACTGAATCTTTTGGTGGATTCTGGCTTCCGTTTCAATTGAAAAAGGTTAGAATAGAACTTACAAGATGAAAATTACTCCCCTTGAAATCAAGTACGACCAAATCCTTTTAGGGGAGCAGAGCTCTTTGTCGATCCCGCGGACCCCACCCCCACTTTCACCAAAACTTTGGCCGCACCCTGGGTGCCCATGTGAAATAGGTAATGGGTTTGGCTGCCTACAGATTTATGGAAAATAATGGTCATGACTACTGGCCTGGGTAAGAAGTTGATGAAATATTGGAGGAGATTATAACTGCTTCCCCCTGTTTGATTCATGATTAGTTCCGTAAACACTGTTTTGACATTTATCAACATCAAAGAGTTTGCGTGTGTATCAAATTACCAAGTCTTGCATAGTTTAAAGTTTGCGTGTACACCTCTCTGAAACCCTTTCCATGAAATAGAACTAGAGCGCAGGAAAAATGGAGGTGGATGGATAACGTGTGGGTGCAACTGATTAGGAATAGATAGCGAGTAAATGTGAGCACAGCCGGTGGTGAGACCCAGCACAGCCGGATGGGTTAGTTTAAAGAAATACAGCCCGTGGAGGCCTCTACTGTTTAGGACAATGGACAGTTGCTGGCAGCCTTGATGACGAGTTTGTTCATGGTACGCAGCGGATCGACGCAGCGTTCTCAGCTCTCCCGGCTACCCAGCCACGCGAGCTCCAAAACGGTACGTGCGTACCTCTGCTCTGATCAAACCTAGTAAGTCTGGTCTAAGTCCGCAGAACAATCTCTCCTCTGGGAAGACCTGAGCTCGTTCCGGAGAAGCTTATTTCGATAAGTAAAGCGATGAATCTCAACTGACCTGTTCGCCCCACATAGCAGGTTTCGGGAGTAGAATGTGGTATATTTGTTTTGCATCGTTATGCGGTTAAACCCGTCAATGAGTGCAGACAAGGTTGTTACCGTCACTAGTTAACTGAGCTCGTCTCTGCCTCTTTCCTGTTTGCCGGTGCCAAACTAATGTCACAGAGGCGCATGTTTATTGCTTTCAAAGACCAACCGAACACAGCGATGGGACAGTGATGGGAGCCTGTATGCTTGAACTGAACTAAACACAGCGATAGGAGCCTGTATTTTTGAGCTTAACTAAACACAGCGATGTAACCCTGCATGCTTGAACTGAACCAGACACAGCGATGGGAGCCTGTAGGCTTGAACTTAACTAAACACAGGGCTGGGACCCTGCATGCCTGAACTTGACTAAACGCAACGATGGGAGCCTGTATGTTCGAACTTAACTAAATACAGCGATGGGAGCATGCACGCTTGAACTTAACCAAACACAGCAATGTAAGCCTGCATGCTTGAACTTAACAAACGCGGCGGTCGGTAGCCTGCATACTTGAACTTAACCGGACACAGCGAGGGGAGCCTGCATGTTTGAGCCTAACCAAACCATGTGACGTCATATGAAGACACATTTCATGGTTCCCTCAATAACCGAACAACAGCCAAATCAACACCGAACACACCCCTGTGCACCCAACAGACGCACGACGGCGCTCCATCACCGGCGTGTGCACGAGCCCGCATCCTGGCACTCCCACGCGTCTACCTGGGGTCGATGTTACCGGGGCATTCATTCTGCGTGACGGTCGGCAGCGCCGTCACTGCCACCCCGCGGTCGGCCAGCGCCCGCAGCGCCGCGTCCACCTGAGCGCTGTCCACCCCGGTGGCGTTCCGGCTCCACAGCTGCGCCATAGGTCATGTGGCCCAGCAGCAGCGGCTGGCAGGCCAGCACGGTCGCCAGCCCGGAGCCGTCCGTGTCCAGCACCAGCCGCTCCCGCCCGAACAGCCCTGGCGAGTGGGGCGGTCGTGTCGCGCTCAACGGAGATCCACCGGCGAGGGGGCGGGGTACGATCGAGCCGGGAGCGCGTGTCGCGACAGCAGCTGCCGCCCCCTCTAGCCTTAGACGTTCTAAGGGTGCGCTTGGATCAGTCCTCATTGCTTCTTCAGCATATCAATTTTTGTGCTCGGTACTGCCAGCAGTAGTTAGGTTACATAAACAGCGGCCGTGCTACAGCCCGTCCTGTCGTTGTTAGACACTGATGTATGCCCGCACACTATGGCGATGCGCGTCGCAGACGGCCGGGGGAGTCCCTGCGCGTCACAGACGGCCGGGGGAGTCCCTGCGCGTCGCAGACGGCCGGGGGAGTCCCTGCGCGTCATAGACGGCCGGGGGAGTCCCTGCGCGTCATAGACGGCCCGGGGCGTCCCTGCGCGTCACCTTCACTGCTGCCAGCCGGATCCTGAGACGGGCGCGCCACCCGCTGGTAATGGCTGCGGCGAATGGTGGTCATCTACTCCCTGCGACCACTTTGACCTGGTCTGGCCCGTCAAAAGTCACTCGTACTTTTGTTTCCTGACTGTAATCTGACATTATGCGTTCTGCTACAGAACTAACCAAACTTAAGTGTGCCAGGAGGTGCTGGTTACCCGAAGATATCGAGCAACTTTCTTTCGTGACGACCATGAACACTACTTGAAACGTAGACAATGTGCATGACTCATCCCATTTTCAATGTCTCCTTAACAGCATCGTGTGCTAGTGTCCTATAGCTTATCTTATAACTTATAACTTACGGTGCATCCCACTATCAATGTTTCCTTAACAGCAGCGCCTAGTGTACTGTACTGGTGATTTTCACTACCAGAACCCATAATGTCAGAAACTAGGGGCCTAAGGTCTGACATGCTTATATCAGCTTGCATCCGATGCAGTTTACCTAGATTTCTGAGCCTGTCACTCGCTCACTTATAACATGCTTACTTTTAATTGCATTACGGTTCAGCTCACGTTCTTGCCATGAGAAGGAAACTATAATCATGCGAAAGGCGAGGGCAAGGTAAGATGATACGATAAGACGGCAGGCAAGACAATACGTTAATAACGACCAAATAAGGCGATACGGTGCGTAAGTAAGGCGTCAGGAGTGCACCGCTGAGCTCTGGGCTTACATAATATTATTGCTCATACCTTTGAAAACACGGCTTTGTCTCAGTTACCCGGCGCGGTAGGAGTTTGGATGTTTTGGATCAGCTGTACCTGTATAGACTCAGCCAGGAATGTCGTTATAATCTTCTGACTGAATCACAAGATGTTTTCAAAACACCCGGAGGGGACTACACAGCATCCTGATAAGCCCAGGCAAACACACGCACACACACATACACACACACACACACACACACACACACACACACACACACACACACACACACACACACACACACACACACACACACACACACACACACACACACACACACACACACACACACAAACACACACACACATAACGCATCATAAGGTGGAGGGCGCTGTTCGCGCGAGAGGAGGTAGATGCCGATAGCTAAAATTGCTCTAGAGAAGAAGGAAAACGTGGACCACAAGGCAGCACGGGCCAGGGTGATGGAGCTTGAATTTTCCGAGCGTGACATGCAGGAACATCTCCACTGAAGCTCATGCCGTGACTCTTGTTGCGCTGACAGGGTGAATGTGGACGTTTGCCCTCCTACTATTTTTGCATGAGCTTCAGTGAAGCACCCCTGCCCCCCCCCCCCTAAAAAAATAATGCACAGCCTGCGGCTGGTGTTCAGGTGGCTGCACGGGTATTCGTGTCTCAGAACACTGGCAGATCAGCCGTGCGTAGGAGGTTACCTGATGGCCACTGCCCCCCCCCCCCATTTTTTTTTTAATGGAAAAACTGCTGCCCCGTTATGAGCCATAGTGTTGTCATGAGTCTATCGCTTGGCTCACTTAGCACTCTCCTCCGGTTCTTCCGGTCTCGGTCATTCTTTCTCCGCTTTCGTCTCCCTCTCTTTTTCCTTTGATCTTATCCTACTTTGCGTTAGACATTGCCAGTGCCACACCGTTGACAATTCCAGACGACGACCAGGCCTGAAAAGCATGTCTTCGCTTTCATTCCTTGTCACATGCTTAAAACATTTTCCGGTTGCGTTCATTTTGTTTACTTGCACGTTTTTGGACGGAATGTGCTTACGGCAAGCCTTTCTTGAATGGATGAGAAAACAGGCCAGTAAATCTGACAGTTTTGGGAAAACAGGTCATTGCGTTAACCATAAGAAAGGTATGCCTGAAGTGTACGCTTGGCAGTGTGACCAGAGATAGTTGGAAGCTGGACACGCATACTCATAGTTGGCTGTCTTTTTTAGCACGGAATACAATTCAAAAGATTATCAGTCAGCTAGACTGCACGAGCGAGGAGCCAGGGGGAAGGACACTACCAGCTGCCGGAGCCAGGGGGAAGGACACTACCAGCTGCCGGAGCCAGGGGGAAAGACACTGCCAGCTGCCGGAGCCAGCGGGAAGGACACTACCAGCTGCCGGATCCAGGGGGAAGGACACTGCCAGCTGCAGGAGCCAGGGGGAAGGGACTGCCAACTACAGGAGCCAGGGGGAAGGACACTGCCAGCTGCCGGAGCCAGGGGGAAAGACACTGCCAGCTGCCGGAGCCAGGGGGAAGGACACTGCCAGCTGCAGGAGCCAGGGGGAAGGGACACTGCCAACTACAGGAGCCAGGGGGAAGGACACTGCCAGCTGCCGGAGCCAGGGGGAAGCTGCCGGGCCGGTGGCAGCCTGCCAGCTGCCGGGCCGGTGACAGCGTCATCCCAGCTGCGCAGCAGCCAGGCCACCAGCGGCGGTCATGCCACGGACGGGCGCACCTCTGCGTAGCTGCCAGCCACCGCCCGACTCCTCGGGTCTGCCCCAGGTGCGCCGGTGGATCCAGGTCACTATGCATCACGGCGAGAGCAGCAATGGCTGCCAAAGCACACTCATGCATCCGCTGTACATTCTGCAATATATAGCGCGCTGTTCAGCACGAGATGTTTACTCACCCAGCAGCCACTTGTTCTGCACGTGGATCCCTCCACCGGACGCGTCCTGCTCCACTCTTACCACCTCCACGTGATCATGTTCGGCCTTGCGGTATCGGTACAGGAGCTGGAAGCAAGCGCATGTCCAGGTAATACAAGTGTTGCGTGTGACGAAATGTTTATCAAGGACTCAGGTATCGGCGTTGCGCTTGCGTGCTGCGGAGTCATGGCGCTCTTGACGTGTATACCCACGTGCAAATATGATAGATATCATCGCAAGTTAACAGTCGTTACTCGGTTGGAAAAGCATGCACTAAGCCCATAACACGCATCACTAAAGCGCGCTCAAACAAAATGGTGAGAGCAAGCGTACCTACGGCTGCCCGAAAGAGTCGCAGTGTAACGCAAACGAACCTGGCATGACTTACCATCCTTTGGGGTTTCCCATCGCAAATAAACAAACATTACGTAGTGTTTTGGTGCGGTCGATACGGATGTACTTTGCTCATATTGTCCACCCAAGGCTCGTTTTTTCCGAATAAACAGCTGCCTGCGTTGTCGATGCGCGACCGTCATCAGCTGTATTAAACATACAGCTGATGTTTAGCGTTGTGAGGTGCGGTGTCTTACCCTACACGTGCAGGAGTTTGTGCACTCTCACCCCATTCCGGCTCAAGAAGGTTAAGTTAGAAGTTCAACAATGCAATAACTCGAGTAATTGCATTGTCATTTAACACCGGCCTGAGTGAGTATTCTCTCATTTCGCAGCGGCTTGGGTCGATGTGCTTACACCTCACCCCGGCTCTGGTTAGCGCACTCTCATTTCACATTGGCCAAGTGAAATGCTCTCATCTCACACTAGTCGGAGGTGGTGTGCTTTTACCTCCTACCGGCTCGGGTGAGCGTGCTCTCAGCCCATACCGGATCGCATTGCAGTACGCTCGCCTCACAGACGTGCTCGGGTACTGACCTCGTACCGGCTCGGGTGAGCGTGCTCTCAGCCCATACCGGACCGCATTGCAGTATGCTCGCCTCACAGACGTGCTCGGGTACTGACCTCCTAGCGGCTCGGGTGAGCGTGCTCTGAGCCTATACCGGATCGCATTGCTGTACGCTCGCCTCACAGACGTGCTCGGGTACTGACCTCGTACCGGCTCGAGTTGGTGTGCGGCTGCCCACCTCGTACCGACTGGGGTTGGTGTATCAGATGCTCAACTCGTACCGGCTGGAGTTGGTGCACGGCTGCTCACCTCGTAGTAGCTGGAATTGGTGCATCGGATGCTCACCTCGTACCGGCTGGAGTTGGTGGACGGCTGCTCACCTCGTACCTGCTGGAGTTGGTGTATCGGATGCTCACCTCGTACCGGCTGGAGTTGTTGTACGGCTGCTCACTTCGTACCTTGCTGGAGTTGGTGTATTGGATGCTCACCTCGTACCGGCTGGAGTTGGTGTACGGCTGCCCGACGTCGACTGTCGTGCAGGTGGCTGGCCACAAAGCCTTGCTGGTCGAGGTACGCAGCACGTACCACCGTCCGCTGGCCTGCCGGGTCGGATCGGGTCACCGCAGGCCCACCTGGCTTCTTGTGGTGGGCCGCATTGGTAGATCATAACGGGTTACAACTGTGTCACGTGCAGGGGCAATGTCGGTCGAACCTGTTTGGGCAGGACTCAAAAGATCGTTCCAGGTGGATATGTTGAAAGGATTCTCACAGATTGAGCCACATGACAAAAGCTAACATTGAAGGTGAAAACGACTGCAAGGTGTTTTGACAATGACACAATGACAAAACGACCTTCAGGTCAGCTATGCAATTTGTCTGTTGTTGGAGAGCGGTGCCGTTTACCTGATAAAGGTCCTGCCCGTACGCAGCAGTCATATTTGGGCAACCTCCAAACCGGAAGAAGCTCATTTCCGGCATGCAGGCGGTAGCCAGATGCACCAGGGCCACCGAAAAGAGAAACCTAGCCTCTGTCCTGCGTCCTTCCGTCGAACACATCGTGGATCTTGATTCTGTTAGCGTCTCTGAGGCATGCACCTTTCGTATTCCGCACCTCTTCCTTTTCCGGATTCCACCTCTTTGATGTCTGGAGACTCCCCCGGTCACTTTCTGGAGACTTGTCCTGCCTTGGTCCGGGAAATGTCCCGTCTCGGTCCGGAGACTTATCTTGACCCTATCTGGGGATTTGTCCTATAACCGCCTGGAGACTTGATCTGCTGTTTTCTGAAGACTTGCCCTTGCCGTCCTATGAACGTTGTCTCGATCTGACGCTGTTTCGGACGACGCTCCAAGCCGTCTGCACTCTTCGAGACAACGCTCTTCCGCCGCAGACACCAACCTTCCCAGGCGGCGGTGTTAGACGGCGCACGAGCTGGCAGCGGGGCCCTCCAACAGCGTCCTCGGACACGTGCGCTGCGGAAGCGCTGCCGTTCTGCGCCGCAGCCCGGCAGCGGGCGCCTTTTGAAGCGGCAGTTGGACCGCAGTCTGCCGATGCCGCCGCTCTGTTTGTTGACGGGGGACCGGAGCTGACGCCGGTCGGCAGCGCTCAGTTCCGGGCCTTTCAGAGCGCCGGCAAAATGTGCCGGGGTGCGGGCCAATTAGAACAGTGCAGCGCGCCTGTGACGGCCGGCGCTTCACGCGCAGCTGGCACTCGTTAGCTGGTGACGAGTTTGCGGGCGCCTCCGCGCGGCGGGACCCGGCCTCCGGCTGACACTGATGGCGAATGTCATGGAGCTTACGAGGAACAGTTCCTGACAATAGATATATTGTGGACTGGCTCTGCACGGTTCCCATGACAACTGCTCTGGAGACCCTCTCGTGATGACCTCCTGCTCCTGGTTGCAGTGCACGATAAAAAGGTGTTGTTTTGTGATAGACCATTGTGTCGCTGCCAGTGCCTCCGTTGCCTTCGTCACGCGGCGGCGTGCGCCGTCGTGCTATGACGTTCCGAACCTATCCTACATTGACACATGCTGTACGAACACGTCCGGCTCAGCCCGGCCGATCGTACCGGCGAGTGTTTACCTGTCGCCACTCGATGACAGCCGCAGCCAACACAACGCTGTTTGCTTCGATTGTTCTCAGCTGTCGAAGTAAGGCCTCCCAGCGTGACTGCTGTGGTCCTGCTGGCAGCTTAAAAACATCAGTTCAAAACGGGATTTCCAGCTCCGTTGATACAGATTCTGGACGCTATGCGAACTTTACGCTCGCATGGGCTAAACGTGCTGCAAACTGGCTACCTCAGCGGTGTTTTGGTGAGAAGGTAAGGGGTTGCATGATGATGCGGTATGCTAGATACAAAGTACGGTTAGAGTGATGATTCCAGCTATCGCTATCGTGTTCTTATGGTTTAAGCCCGCTCCAGCTGGTCACTTTTTGAGCCTCCGTCAGCTCTTAGTCCTGATGACGACCCGAAGATGTGCAGCGCACAACTATGCACGCATCACTGTCTCAGCAGTATAAGCCCCGCCTCCTTATCTATATAGCAACGAAACAAGATTTACATTGATAAGCTAGGCTATAGCCATTGTCCGCTGTAGCCCACTGTAATCATCATTTTGTCTGACTATGAGTCCATGCAATGCCTTAGAGTGTCGCATCGTTATATGGGGTGTCACAAGCTCAAGTAGTCATGTTTGAGTCGGTCATGAATTTGCATCGATTTAGTCCCATACATCACCGAGCAATCAAACAAAATATGGACGTGTCTGCAAACATGTACACACGTTACTGCTGTCTATGTGTATACAATTTCCCTGAATGGAAGTCAGCAATGCCAGACGGGGACGCAGATGTCCCAGCTCAGCATCAGACCAGACCTCCGTCCGGCATCGGCCCGCCGCCAGACCCGAGTTGCTCATCAGACCAGACCTCCGTCCGGCATCGGCCCGCCTCCAGACCCGAGTTGCTCATCAGACCAGAGCTCTGTCCGCCTTTGGTCCGCCGCCAGACCCGAGTTGCTCATCAGACCAAAGCTCTGCCCGGCATCGGCCTGCCGCCAGACCCGAGTTGCTCATCAGACCAAAGCTCTGCCCGGCATCGGCCTGCCGCCGGACTCGAGTTGGTCATCAGACCAGGGCTCCATCCGGCATCAGCCCACCGCCAGACCCGAGTTGCTCATCAGACCAAAGCTCTGCCCGGCATCGGCCTGCCGCCAGACTCGAGTTGCTCATCAGACCAGAACTCTGTCCGCCGTTGGTCCGCCGCCAAACCCGAGTTGCTCATCAGACCAGAGCTCTGTCCGCCATTGGTCCGCCGCCAGACCCGAGTTGCTCATCAGACCAGAGCTCTGTCCGGCATCGACTCGCCACCAGACCCGAGCTGTTCATCAGACCGGAGCTCTGTCCGCCGTTGGTCCCCTGTCAGGCCCGCCAACGCGCTGAGCTACATGCTTGCGGGTCCCTGGGTGATGTGCTGATACAGACTGCGTACGGCGTAGACTGTGGCTGCGTACGGCGTAGACTGCGACTGCGTACGGCCTAGACTGCGACTACGTACGGCGCAGACAAACCTCATGACGTGCTCTCCAGAAAAAGCTGGCGATGATCATGTTAACCATCTCATAACGACTGAGAAGGACTAAGGTGAGTCAGGTTGGTCACGGCCATTTGAAAGTAGACCCCGTGTTACACAGTAAGGTTTGAACCAATTACATTGGAAGTGTGCCTAATCATCGGACAACATGGTGTGTCAGTCATCCATGCTTAACCCACACCCCACTGGGGGGGGGGGGAGCGGGGGGGGGGCAAGTAGACGCTCTCTGTTTTTTCTATTGCAGCGAAAATATAGCTGCCCAAGTGAGGTTTTATGATTACATTTATTCATAAATCACATACAGATGAAAACAACAGCTGCAGGTGGAGGCACAGGCAAAGTTGCAGGTTCTGAGTCTAATGTTAAGTTTTAAACCTTGCAGTAATTCAATATTTAGTAGAATACTCGCGGCAAAATGAAAGATGTCAAGTAAATCACGCCGTTAAATTGTTGACACCGTCTACTTCTTTAGTTAAGATGATTATCCGAAGGACTCAAATATTTTCATCTGAGTTTGGATAACACTGCTCTGAACACAATTGTTCAATGATCCGTTCAGGGAATTCAAACATGCCTGCGCCTGGAGCGCTAAGATCGCTGCCAATCCCGCAGCAGTCGTTTCACTCCCTTCAGTCACTTCCATGCAGCAATACTATGGTTGCCTACCTTGCGCCCATTGCACTGTGTCATCTTTGTTATCTCAACGCCGTGAAAAAGCACGTCACACAGCGCAGTTTCTACTCGCTGTTCCCGGATGCTTGCCTTTGAGCATGAATGCAGGGAAACGGACGGTCACCTTGAAACATGAATACCAGCGACGAGACAAGCCGATGTTATTATTTTTTGTTTTGTTTCCAAGCTGTTTAATGTCCGGGCGGCTATTGTGACGTAAGCGGCCGCCTACAGCAGTGGAGACTGCCGCAGTTCATCAGCGCGTCGCGGGACACCACCTGCGTTCTCCCCCTCCTGCACTGTATCCCGCAAATCGGGCCCGGCGGGGATGCCATTGTGTCGCGCCTCATCCACATCCTTTTACGTCGGCGGCGCCAGCTGATGATGACGTCTCGCCTGAATGGCGGAGCCACCCACGCAACCCCAGCTCCCGGGAGTGTGGGGGGGGGGGGGGCTGCAGGGGACGCGGGGTGGTGCCAGCCGGTCCCGGCCTCTGACCAGCCGTAGAAATCGGAAGTCGTGCTGATGATGGCCACATGACGACGAGGGCAAGCATGATCTGCATGATTGGCAGTTTGGCGGTGCGGCGATCCAGCCTTCCACTGCCTCACCCTGAGAGGCCTTTGTGACTGGCGTGGGGAAGCAGAAGAAGAGCTGCGATGCTGTACTTCTTCTTCAGAAAGGTTATCCACTGAAACGAGCGCCGCTTTGACATTCTTGCTAAACAGCTGTGGTGAGCTTACCAACAGCTGAATAAATCCCGTAACGTCTTTAATACTCGTCCGGCTGGCAAAAGTAAACCTCAAGAAGCGCTTCTCGCGCCTGTGGTCGGCGTCCCCTCCCCCTCCCCCCGGCACGCCCCCCACCGTGAGCGCGTGCGGGCTCCCGTTCTCCCCTGTGACCCGAGCGCGTGCCGGCAATCACCGAGGTCAGACTCTGGACAGAGGCCGGCAGCTGGGGGCGCCCGATTAGCATTGTGGCCGGCGAATGGGCGGTCCGATCGGATTTGTGGGTGCACTCGCAGCGGCCGGCCGGGCAGGTGGCGGGTCAGGGACGGGGCAGTCAGGGGGAGGGGATGGGTTCGCCGCTGCGTAAGCCGGCGGCAGGGAAGGCCGTGGGGGTCAGCCGACAAGGAGCAGCGTCTGTCTGCGATGGCAGGAGCAGAAGACGCTGGCGTGGGTTGACTCAAAGGCAAGACGATGCCAAGCGATGGATCTGCCTGTTCTGTCCCACAAACATCCGCCCCCCATTCACAAGGCCATTCAGCCGGTCCATTTGCCGGCTGTCGACCGAGGCGTACGTATCTGCGAACAACCTGATGATGCGCATCTCGTGTTATTTTCTCCGCTTCCTTTGACTCTGTTTTCATGTGACGATAGTGTGGGAGGGAGCAGCTTTTAAGACCGATGTCATGGATCGAGGAATCCTTATCGAAAGAAGAAGCTATCTTCAACATGTGCCGACTCGGCCCGGCCCAAGTCATCATCCTTTTCAACGGCCTCCAACCACATTGATCACGTGAAGTCTGTTTTTGGCAGGTCAGTTTCAGTGGTATATGTTGCTTTGAAATGTGTGTTGGCGTCACGAAAATTCCGGTTAAGTAAAAAGGAATGTACCTAGCCGGTGACTCGGGTAGGGAAATGTTTACAGTAAAGATGCGAATTATGTCTTGCATACCTTTTAAATCCGGATCGATCGCCCCTTAGCATGTAATCTACGATATTTACGGATGCTCCAAAGCATCTTCTCTGGAAATCTTTGAGAAGGTACTCTCATTCTGATCCAACGAGGCAAAATTAAGTACTAAATGAGATCCCCGCTTTTGAGCATTGGTTATGAGGACACAAAGCTGCCATCTTCCTAATGGTGGTTGAACGAGGAAATTGTGTGTATTGCAGCTTCTTCTCTATATGATGAGTGACGGACAAGTGGACCGAGTCTTGAAATCACCGATTTTGTTCTCGTAGTGCGAGTCAAAACACTCGTTCGCCAATTCGTTCTCGGCCATGGTATTCAGCATTGCCTCTACGCCACCTCTGGACTGTTGAGACTTCTCACAACACCTACCGGAATTCATACTTTATACGTTGAGGCGCGAATAAATCGCTTGCGATCTAGGCTACATCAGATCAGATTCATTCGTAAAACTCACCATGCGGTACCTCCGCAGATCTCAAGATAGGTTGAACGTTAAATTTTAGCCTCACCTGAGTGA